TTTTGCCAACAATACAATCATTGCTAATGAATATTTTTTTTAATACTACAAATAAATCAGAAAATGGCAAGGGAAAAGCTTTTAAGAAATTTGGAATAAAATGACAATGAAAATATAATGGAAAAGATGAATCCAAAGATTGCTGAAATTGCCAAAGCTATTCTGGAAACAAGGAAAAGCAGAATACAATAGGTGGCAATGGAAAAAGAGAAATTTGGGGCTGCGAGACACTTTGAACAATAGCAAAATAAAAAATAAAAAATAAATTTCTCCCTCTGCTCTAACCTATGTTTTCAAGCTGATTCTCATGCTCCGTCTCCCCCCATTCAATTTGTCTCTTGTTTCAAACCAATCTTTGTTTTTTCAGCAAAGATTCTTTTCATCTTTTTGTCGTTCGGTATTATCTGTATGCTTTAAAATTTAAAATTTTAATTTTTTAGAGATATTTATTGTCTAATTTAACTTTAGTTTTGTAAAATATTAAAAACAAACATTAAAATGTCATTTTTATAAAAGCAATCTAAATTTAAATATAATAAATTTAAAATTAAAATTTATTGAGCTTGAGTGAAATGTAAAAGATCCTAATATTTTTGAATTTAAATACATTTTAATTTGGATTTAGTAGGTTCAAAATTATTAGATTAATGTGGACAAATTTTTTAAAACTCACACCTATTTATAAATTTTTCCAAGTTATGGGAGCACTTAGCTTCAACCATGTAGGCGTTCGCCTGTGAATAAAATTATAGGAAGTGAGAATTATATTTTCCAAAAAAAAAAACACTGAATAATTCATGTCGAGCTTTTGATCAGGTAATGCTTGTTTTTGAACGAATACGAGAGAAGAGGAGGAAGAGATAAGAAAATCAAGAAGAGGGTTCAATCTTCTTGGCCAAGGAAGTAAATCCAAATTCGTGGCATTGCATTTTCTCCATTCGTGGATCGCTTCTTTTTCTCTCACTTGCATCTTCTCCACTCACGTCTTCCCTGTTTTGGGAAGTAGAGTTCAGAGGCGAAGGGGAGAGATTAAGATTAGAGAGAGAGACTCTTCTCATTCAAGTTCCAGAATTCTTTTTTGTCTTAATAGCAACAATAATTCATGAGAAGACAATATGTAGAGAAAATGGACGTTAGCAATTCTCCATATGCTTCTTCTTCCTTCTCTTCTACTGCCCCTTCAAGCCCTAACTTATTTGCTGTACAAAAGAAGCCTATCTAAATTGCTTTATTTTCTCACTTGCTGATTCATATATAACTTATTTGTCATGTAGAATGCTGATTAAGCTGAGTTATGGAGGATTAGGACAAAAATATATGTGAAAAGATTATTGACTAAGTTTTAAATGATTCAGTTATTGAGTCGAACCACGTCACATTTGAGAAACTGATTTTTAAACAAATTATTGAATAACCAAAATATTAATTTCCCTTCATTATATAATGTAAAATTTAATATATCAATTACATTTATTAACTTTTACATATATTAAATTTTGACATTATGTATTCAACATCAACCACTTGAGATAAAATTTAATATTTGTTGTCAAGTTAATTTTTCATTTTTCAAATTATTTAGTAATTGTTAAGAGCTTAATTTGCAAAAATTCATATATGCAGTCAACTTGTTATATAACCGTTAATGGTGGTCAGGCACGGGCGACCATAGTGGAAGGTATTTTTGTTTTTATTTTTTATTTTTAAATTCAAGACTGGTTAGGTGCATTCACAAACAAACCTAATTTCATTTAAACCTCTAGTTTTAATAATATGCTCGGACTGTACTTTAATGCCAGTTTTCCTATAATAATAAAGTGATTATTAAATCCTTTTTACATTTATGCTTTTTTAAAAAAAGAATAGGTTACAATTTTTTTGGGCCAACAAGAATAATGTTGCAATTTATCTTTCTTCACTTAATGTTGTTTTAAATATGTTGGTAGCTTTCACTTTATTCATTACCCAACAAAAATTATGCCCCTACATCCTAAATTATAAAATATTTTTAGATAACATCTCACATATTAATAAATTTTATTAAATACACTTAACAATTTTATTTTTAAAAACTAAAAATATAAATTTTTAAAAATACTATCATTTAATATATTGAAGAGAGAAGGGATGAAAATTAATTTTATATAAAGAAAAGATAATATTAAAATTAATGTATTTAATGAAATTTTAATTTACCTAAATTATTTTATATTTTATGATGAAAAACTCTTTTAAAAATATTTTATAATTTAAAAAGGAAGGATTGGAGGGAGTATTATTATTATACATTTTTTGTTACTACTATTAATTAGTCCATTATCACCGTTAATAATTTAATATAAAATAAGTCACAACACCCAACAAAAAGTCAAGCGGGGCGGCCTTGACTATTTCACAAGAGCATTCATAACTTCATATAGCATTAACCAAGGACGGGGCTGCTTATTATTATTTATTATTATTATTACATTCCAGAAGCCTAAAAGAAAACAAAATTAACGTAAAGAAAGACCAGAGGCTGTTCACAATAACGAGTTGCATTACTTTGCGGTGGCAGAAGCCTTCAGTCTAATCTTAAGAGCCTCTGCATACCCTATGAGTTTCTCAGTCTCAGGAATCAACCCCTTCACGTGAGCATCAGATGAGAGTCTCTCTGCCCATTTCACCAAACCTGGATGCTTCTCTTCAACCAACATCTTCCTTCCGCTCATCGTCTCTATTGCACTCAACCAACGCATCAAGCTCCCAAAAGTAATATCAACCAATCCAATGATCTCATCCCCGCCAAAATATCCCTTTCCTTCTTTGCAATATTTCTGCAGCTCACCTTCCATTGTCACAAGCACATCTTCCACTTGCCCCAAGTATGGCTTCCTCGCTTCTTCATCTTCTTCGAGCAAAGCTTTTCTCATGGCCACGAAACACTATCCCCAGTGAAATTCATTAGTATCAACCAAATGGGAATAACAGTAGACAAACACCGCTCAGGAAAGGGATTAAGTAAAGTAATATAATACCTTGTCATCGATGTACGCAGCCCAGAAACGAGCCATGGCTCGATCGTAGGCATCTGCTGGTAAGATGGAGGGACCAGTGTTCCAAACCTCGTCTATGTATTCGACAGTGATTCTAGATTCGCAGATGGGCTTGTCTCCGTGAAGGAGGACTGGGACTTTCTCGTGCACAGGATTTGACTGCAGAAGAAGCTGGCTTTTTGGGTTCAAGGTCTCTTCAACGTTTTCATATTCCACAGATTTGATGTTGAGGGCGATCTTAACCCTCCAGACAAATGGACTAAACCAGCTACCCAGGAGCTTCAGCTCAGCGTTTGCCATGAGTAACTAGTGAAAAACACAGGATGTGAAAAATGTTACTGTGAAGGCCAATACAAGCTAAGGAAGAATGAGGTGTTTATGTAGGAAGAACGATCAAGTGTGACTAGTCAAATCAAATTTAGTAGGTAAACCTATAATCCACTGAGCCACCTAAGAGGACCAGATATATAAGGATCAAGAGCGAAGGAGATTCTCTCCGTTTTCCTCTGCTTCCGCCACCTCAATCACTCATATTATTTTATTAAATAATTATTTTAAGAATTATAGAACCTCTCAATTATTTATTAATTTTATAATTTTAAAAAATTATTTAATAAAATAATATAAATGGTTGAGATAAGAAAAGTAGGAGGAAAAGAAGAGAAAGAAATGGAGAGATTATCCTCCCATCAAGAATCGAGTTGAAAATAATAAATGTTTCTTGGGCACTTTGCATTTGTCTCGGCGCCCTGTCCGGATTAGATTTAAGATATTGTAACGGCTGTATTCCCTGTGTTTAATTTTGATGATATGAGTTAAGTCATTTCTTTGAACTTTTAGTCTTTTACTTTAAAAATGAAAAAAAATAGAAATATAAAACTGAAATTTAAAGGAGTCAAAGATGGAAAGCATGAAAGGTCCGTCTTTGCTGCCCATCCATTAAAATAAATTTGGGCCATTCAGATTAAATCTGAATAGCCTAAATTTTTTAATTTAAATTTAAATTTATATTTATTAAAATAAAAATTTATAATTTTTATAAATAGGTTCATTATCAATTTGAATAGTATTGATTTAATTTAGACAGCTTAATTTAATATTATAACTTTTTAAATTGATTATCTACATATATTTTGGACAGTTTATATTCGATATTAAATGTTTATTTGTAAGGTCTAAATTTAAATTTTTTATTTTTTATTTTGATGAATATAATATTTAAAAATAAAATATATAATATTTTAATTATAACTTTTAAAAAATATTTTTTAAAAAATTATAAGTTAAAAATTTTAAATTTAAATTGTACAGAATACATCTGAATAGTCAATATATAAAAATATAAAAATTTTAATATTAGTCAAAAAATATTTATTAAAATTTTTTTAGAATTTTTATTTTTAAAAATATAAAATAAAAATATTAAATTATTTTTTTAAATGCGGATCATCCACAGATTGCATCACCCTGATGTGCATCCAAGATAGTTCCGAAAAGCATGGGAAGAAAAACAAGCACATATGACATATCTTTGACGAGCACAGTGCTAGTAACGGGTCAACTCAAACTTAGTGCTGTCTGGTTTGCTTCTAGAATCAATTATTTGACCAAAACCATAGTTTAGTTAAAAACATCCAAACATCCCATTTTCTCATAATCAATTATTTGCCTCAGAATCAAGTTTTGGCGTCAGCAGGGGAGAAGCAGTTTCTGAATTTCAACTCTACTATTATGTGTATTTAATATTTGTTTGGGACAACCACTTGCCAAATATACCCTTAAATTTTATTGTCCTTAGCAATGCCCCATGTTCGTTGGTTTTCTTTTGATTAATATATAATTTAAATTTTGAATTATAGATTTAGAGATAATTTAAATTTTAAATTTTTAAAAAATTTATTTTAAATTCTAAACAATTAAAGTTAAAATAATTTTACCCCATTGTTAAATTCAAACAAATATCCATCAAATCAAAATCTAATGTATAATTTTTACTAAATGAGAATAGGAGGGAAAATAAAATTTGATAACAATCACTAGCCCAATTTAATGTATGTTTACTGAAATTTAACTTCATATAGCATAACCAAAAAGGAGCTGTTTATTTTTTAGTATTATTATCATTATTATTATTACCACAACATCCCACAAGCCTAAAAGAAAACAAAATTAACGTAAAGAAAGACCAGAGGCAGTTCACAATAACGAGTTGCATTACTTTGCAGTGGCAGAAGCCTTCAGCTTCATCTTAAGAGCCTCTGCATACCCTATGAGTTTCTCGGTCTCAGGAATCAACCCCTTCACGTTAGCATCAGATGAGAATCTCTCTGCCCATTTCACCAAACCTGGATGCTTCCCTTCAACCAACATCTTCCTTCCACTCATCGTCTCTAGTGCACTCAACCAACGCATCAAGCTCTCAAAGGTAATATCAACCAATCCAATGATCTCATCCCCGCCAAAATATCCCTTTCCTTCTTTGCAATATTTCTGCAGCTCACCTTCCATTGTCACAAACACATCTTCCACTTCCTCCAAGTATGGCTTCCTCGCTTCTTCATCTTCTTCGAGCAAAGCTTTTCTCATGGCCACGAAACACTATCCCCAGTGAAATTCATTAGTATCAACCAAATGGGAATAACAGTAGACAAACACCGCTCAGGAAAGGGATTAAGTAAAGTAATATAATACCTTGTCATCGATGTACGCAGCCCAGAAACGAGCCATGGCTCGATCGTAGGCATCTGCTGGTAAGATGGAGGGACCAGTGTTCCAAACCTCGTCTATGTATTCGACAGTGATTCTAGATTCGCAGATGGGCTTGTCTCCGTGAAGGAGGACTGGGACTTTCTCGTGCACAGGATTTGACTGCAGAAGAAGCTGGCTTTTTGGGTTCAAGGTCTCTTCAACGTTTTCATATTCCACAGATTTGATGTTGAGGGCGATCTTAACCCTCCAGACAAATGGACTAAACCAGCTACCCAGGAGCTTCAGCTCAGCGTTTGCCATGAGTTACAAGTATAAACTGAGGGAGAAAAACACAGGATGTGAAAAATTATTGTGAGGCCAGTACAAGCCCAGAGGTGTTTATGTAGGAAAAACAAAAAACCGTCAAGTGTGACTAGTCAAATTTAATAGTTAGGGCTATAATTACTGAGCCACCTAACACAACTAGATAAGGATCAAGAACCGTGTCGAAAATAAAAAAATGTTTCTTGGGTTCTTCGCATTTGTCTGTGCCACTTGTCCGGATTAGATTTAAGATATTGTATATACTGTATTCTCTGTGCTTAATTTCGATGATATGAGTTAATGTCATTTCTTTGAACTTTTAGTCTTTTACTTTAAAAAAGAAAAAAAAAGAAAAAAAACCGAAATTAAAAGGGGTCAAACATGAAAAGCATGGGAAGAAAAGCAAGCACATTTGACATGTCATACCTTCATACTGTTTCAAGTGCACAGTGCCAGTGACGGATCAACTCAAATTAGTTTACATAATCTATTAATCTTATCTGCAGTGTCTCTTATCGAAAGGAGCTCTTCCAAGATTCATATTATTCATCCAGTAGCTCTCGCGAAAATTGTGGCAAGATAATTAACAATTCCCTATAATGTTGTCTACAGCCTACATAGTCTAAAATATCAGAAAATGCTCAAGTTTCACTTCGATTTTCAAATTCAAGCAACAGAAGTAAAGTGTTTTGAAAGTACATTGCAGAGACATGTTATTTCTTCAAATGACAGTAAGACAGCCATTGTAATTTGACTCTGAAATCATCTAGAATTAAATCTATAGTATTTATTGATGTAAATTCCTGCTACAAAGGACAGTACAGCCCAAAAGTGAGAAGGAAATTCAAGCAAACTTGTAAGAAACACGCAGAACAATAGAGCATCATTTTATTGAACCATACAAGAACAGAGAGATTATCTACACCCGCAAGCAAACAGTCTCCACAAATTCTACTTCTTGGCAATTGCAGCCCTCCATTTGATCTGAAGGGACTTGGAAAGCTCTATGAGTTCATGAGTTTCAGGTATGAGTCCCTTGACAGCAGGATCAGCAGCAAATTTCTCAGCCCAATCCACCAGAGAAGGAGCTTTTGCCTCAACAAGAAACTTTCTTCCACACAAAGTTTCGACAACACTGAGCCAGCCCAGGTGGCTTCCAAAAGCAATGTCCAGGAATCCAATCTGGTCTCCACCAAAAAAGGGCTTTCCTTTGCTGATTTTCCCAAACGCATCCTCTATCCTCCTAATCACTTCATCCATTGTCTCATAGTATGGCTGTCTTGCCTCCTCATCTTCAACAGTCAGAATGCTTTTCATCGAGGGAAACCACTATCACAATTAGAGAAACAGCTCTCATTCAGAAGGAATGGCCCAGAAAGGAAGAGATTAAACTCAGAAACCTACAAAGTCAGAACTGGATGGAAAATAGGTAAATTTTTTTCTCAGAAATACATTCTCTGTTGTTGGGAAGGGAAATACCTTGTCATCGATGTAAGCCGCCCAGAATCGAGCGATTGAACGATCATAAGCATCGGAGGGGAGGATAGAGGGGCCAGAGGACCAAGTCTCGTCGATGTATTTGACAATAATGAGGGATTCGCAGACGGGGTTTCCATGGTGGATAAGAACTAGGATTAGGGCGTAGACCGGGTTGGACTGAAGAAGAAGATCGCTCTTCGGTTTCATGTGCTCTTCAAAGTACTCGTATTCAAGAGATTTGATATTAAGAGCGATTTTCGCCCTCATCGAAAAAGGGCTCGACCATTTGCCCAGAAGCTTCAGTTCACTCTCCGGCATCAGGATTGCTCTACCAGAAGCAATCTGGAGACCGGAACTTCAACAACGACCCAAATCACACTGATAACTAATCACACACAAATTGGTTCGATCTAGTAGGTCTATTCTTAAATTTTTGGACTATCCCTCGTCATTTTCGAATATTATGAATCTGGCCACATCATCAGCTTCGTCGACAATACAGGGATCCTTTCGATGCAATAAAAGGCCAAAAAGACACTGAAATGATTCTATCTATGCACCGAGACTCATAAAGATCGAATGGCTCTTCTCATCAGAAAATGGTCGCCCCATTGGATGAGATCAAATATCTGCTCATATGAGATTGGTCTGAATCTGATTACATGGCTAAGAAAGCGAACAACTATGCTGACTAATTTTAATTTTATCACTAACTCAATTGTTTATTAGGTCCACTGAAAAGACGTTCTCACTGATTTTAATTTTATCACTCACTCAATTGTTTATCAGGTCAACATTTTACTTTGCATTCATTTTTTAAAATATTCTTAATTCTTAATTATTGCTTTATTTCTTTGGGTCAAGTAAAAATAATAATTACTGTAAATAATTTTTGTTGAATTATGCTTCCTCCGTTTTATAATATATATACACTTTCTCTGTTTAAAAAGATAAAATATTTTTATTCGAATCTCACCTTCAATAAAGTGATTACTTACTTTTAAATTAATTTTATTTTTTTATATTTATCCCTATTAAATATCTTATAATAAACATAAAATCATTATCAATAGAGACACTTTAAAAAAAATAATGATTATACTTGAAAAGATTAAAAATATTTTACATTTTTTAATGAAGAGAGTATATAAAAACAGATTTTAACTATCTTACACAATTTAAAAATAATTAATTCTAACACTTACACGTCAGACTTTAAAAATTTTAAACTAAAATATTTGTTTCTGAAAAAAATAAATTATGATTTTGTGAAAGGCAATTTTAAAAAAAAAAAATCATAAATATTTCTGAAAAATTGTTCTGTTTACATATAAAAAACAAATCACGTGAAAGTTTTCTTTATATATAACCCTTCACACTTGGAGGAATGTCAGAGCCGGGGAATACCGAATTATCATTTTTTTCATTTTAAAAATTAATTTTAATTTGCCTTTTACTTCAAAATGAATAATTTTTATTTTATTAAAAATAAAAAATATTTTTTAATCGAGCTTATTAAATACTGAAATTATCAATTTCTTGTTCTAAAAATTAATTTAACCTCCTTTGTACTTTAAAATTACTTATTTTCATTTTATAAAAATATTAAATATATTTTTTAGAATATTTAAATGATGTAGAAGACTTAAAATTTTTTTTTAAAAAACATGTGTGGGTCTTAAAATTTAAAAGTCAACATTAAAATATATTTTAAATATTATTTTGTGATATTTTGAAGATTGAAAATAATAAAAATATTACAATATAAATGTTTTTAATTTTTTACAAAAAATATATAATAATGTGATGAAATATATGGTATCTTAATATAAATTATCTAAAACTTAAAAATTATTTAACATTTAATATCCTTATGTGTTTTTAAAATGCAAAATGTTTTTTATTTAGTCCTTTTCCTAAATGTAAAAAATGCATTATCTCATCAAGCCCAATCCTAAAATTTGTTGAGCTTACTAGAATTAACCAATTGGGCATGGCCAAATTACAAGCTCTGAAATATAATTTTCATTTTAGGTTAAATATTCTTATATCTTGGTCCTTCAATATAATTCTCCCTTAATTTATAATAACATTTAATTAATAGATAATAAAAATTTTAATTCTTTAAGTTTGTCTTATTATCATTTTAGTTCTTAAATTTTAATTTTTATAAATTTAGTCTTTTAAATTTGCATCGGTTATAATATTTTTTATTGTTTAAAGACAAAGTGATACTATTAAAATCTACTAATTAGTAGGCGATTGGTTCAATTAGTTGGGGAAGTTAAACTAACTTATCATAAAATCTTAAATTTGAATAATAAAATATATAGTCACATTAAATAAATATATTAAAGATATTCATGATATATTTAGCAAGTTTTTTAGGATATTAGCCAATATAATTTAAAAAAATCTGTTCACATGGATTATGATTGGTTCCTGCTTGTTTCACTTGTTTGGCTAGGGGGAAAATAAGATGATGATGAGATCCCGTTTAATTTCATGCTCGTTTTTCTTTAAAAAAGAATATAGTGTTACAATTTATCTTTATCTGAATCTTGTTTTAGATGTGTTGGTATTTGGTAGCCATCACTTTATTTATTATATAATCTCTTATATTATTTATTTTATATGTTTTGTGAATGTATATTTTTTTAGAAAAATTGGGAAAATTACTCCAAAATCCCCTACAATAATTGTAATTATCCTAAAATCCCGCAAATTACATAAATGCTTGTGAGATCGATGAGACTTAGCTATAATTAAATTTTTCATGAAATGATAAAATTGTCCACGTGAGGTCTCCCAGGACCAGCTTCAGCATTTCTCGTTCATCCCCGAGGACCCCGACCATTCTCGCCGGTGGTTACTCAATTATCACTGAACTCGCCATGACCCTGAAATCAATAGAAAGAACGATATGTTCCCTGCCAGAAAATCCACTCCCAATCTCAAGCCCCTGTTTCACTCCAATCAAATCAAACCCATCTGCAATTAGTATACATAATCTAGCCAAACGAATTCAATGTCTGGTTGGTACTAACTTCTTCCTGTCCCACTTCCCTCTCTCGCACCTTTTCGGCTCTGTAGCCCAATCTCTCGAAAGCTTTGTCCTAATCTCAATCGTAAGGATGCGCTTGAGATGGTGCTTGAGGTCTTAATCCTTGAAGAAATTTTTACTTTCCAATGAAGTCACGGTGGCCGTCGACAACTCCATTACTCCATTATAACTCTGAAACCCATCCACTTGCTGCCGAGAACTGTTCACACTGCCCATCTTGCTCAAATCATTATTCGAGAAATTTTCAACCTTAAATCCTTCAAATGCATTTGAAGTACTGCCCTTAGTGTTTATCACTGAGCTTTGAACTGGATATATAGCTGGTCTTGTGGGAAGAAACAAGGGTCGCATTCATATGGGTATGGAGGGAGATGATCATCAAGGGAAAATCTTCTGCCTAGTTTATTCAACAAGCTTCTTATATTTGAGATGTTAGTGCTCTGGATGTGGAAGGAGTACTTGCGGAAGGCTGATGCGTACAAAGGAGTTTGGTTCACCAGGGACGTAGGCTTATCTGTCATTTCAAAAAAAGAATAAGAAGAAGGAGGAGGAGGAGGAGGTTAATTGCAACTAAGTCCCTGGAACTTCACAGGCATTTATTCAATTAGTGGGACTTTAGAGTGATTTTTCAAAGAATATTTTGTTAGTTTTATAGGATAATCTCATTGTAAGTGTTAAAAACAACTATGGAAGGGGGGAAAACCATAATGAGAAGAAACCGTAGAGAGATAAGTGCGCAAAGTGATTTTTAAAATATCACAAAGATAATCTTACAATTAAATAGAAAGTTTAGTCGCATTTGCCTATATTCATTCGAAATAACTTTCTAGGTTATGTTTGGATTGCTCTTGAACGGGCTTTTAGTGACTTCTGGCCATAATTTTTTTTTTCTGGAGCCGATTACAAGATGAAAAATTTTGTTTGGGTGAAAAAACATTGAAAAAATAATTATTTGATTCCTGTAATTTTGATTTAGTTGTAATTCAGTTTTTAAATTTTCACTCATTATAACTCAATCCTTATAGTTTTAACTCAATTGTAACTTAATTTTTATAATTTCAACCATTTAAATACCAGTCTATATTTTACAAATAAAATTATAAAGATAAAAAATATTTAAAATTTTAATATTTATAAAGATTAAAAGAATTTAGTAATTTAAAATACTAGTAATAAATTTTAGCAAATAATTATAATCTTTTTTTAAGATATAAAGACCAACATTTAAAAAATTAAATATATAAGGACTGAGTTGCGAGAGTCAAAGTTTAGAGATTGGGTTATAACTGAATTAAATTTTTAGAAATAGAATTACAACTAGTCAAAGTTTAGGGACTAACTCATAACTAAATTAAAATTATAAGAAAAAAACTAATTTTTTTAAAAACATTCATAAGAATTTTAAGCGAATGCTTGATTCAGTAGAAACTCATTAGTAGAGCTTTTCAACACTTACTTTGAAGTGAGTAGGGGCATTTAATATTTTTTATATTAGATTTATCTCTCATTGCCCTCTCGCCTCACTTACCTGCTGCTTTGTTTTTGTTGTGTCTCCCCTTCAAACACCAATTGTTGCATCCAACCTCTCATTGTCGTTGTTGTTAACTATGTCTATGCTCATTGCCATTGTCGCTTGTGGAGGTTGTGTTTCAAGGCTCATGGTGTCTGTTCCATTTGCTTCTCTTTCATTTGTAAAGGTCGTGGGATTCTCTTGTCGTGTAGCTTGTTGCTCATCATTAGGCTCTAGAATCTGCAATCTCGTTGGCTTCTTGTATGTCTCGCCCACTACTAATAAAAACATAAAAAAAACCTCTTTTATATTGCTTTGTTAAAGCATTTCACGTCCTTGTTATAGAGAACATAGATCTGGGCAATATAGAAAGTTAACTTATCCACATTATTTTGTGAGGAACATTTTTTTTTTGAGAAACCAAGTCGCTTTTTGTAAAAAAAGGACATGGTTTTTGGAGAATCCCTGTCCTTGTTTCACAAAATGCGACGTGGTTTATAGACACAGTTTATCCTAAAACAAATATTAAAATAATTTAAAATTAAATATCTGTCATTTTTATTTCATCATTTCAACTAACTATAGATTTCATAGACTTAAAAGCAAAATAAAAGAAAAATAAAACTATACCAAAATTGATGAAACAACCAAAAATAATGGAGAATGCTCAAATAGATGTCAGAAATATCTACAAAAAAAAAGACTTTGTAGGTGAAAGTAATACTAACCAAATATTGCTTGCTACCTCGGGGGGAAGAGGAGGAGAAGCTATGAATCTTGATCGTGGGTCTCAAAGCTGTCCTTCAAATGGCAGAAAGAGGAGGAGACAAGGAGAAGAAAAAGTTATCTGTCAAATGCTCATCGTTGAATGCTAGCCTTGGGTCTTTATTCAATTTGTTAGTGGTATATCTCAATGCTATGGGAAAGAAAAGAGAGACTTGTAATGCGGAGGAGAGGCGAGATCTGCAGTGGGAAGGAGAAGAGAAACGTGCTGCCATCGAATTTAAATTTTAAAATACAAAATGATGGAGCTAGGGAGGAGCTAGATTTGATTTAAAAAAAG